GAGGAGCTGTGAGGCATTCTGTGCCGGACCACACCAGGATGGAATCCAGGTCTGCGGTTCCTTGAAGCTGAGGGGAAACCCTGATGAAGTGCTCTGGCTAGAACTCCTTCAGGGCCCTCGGTGGGCGAGGTGTGTGCAGACTGACCAGCGTAAGACACTTGGTAGTTGTCACGTCCAGCTGGCGGAGAGAGTCCTCACTGAGAAGTTGCTCCTTACAAAGGAGGTAGAACTGGAGGGAAGACTTTTATCAACCTGGAGACAGAAAATCCACCCCATGAGGCCCGTAAATAATAAGGGGGACTGGCAGGCTGGGGACAGAGGCTGCTCCAGATGGTGTGCCTGGGCTCAGATGCTCTCGTTTCATGCTTCTGGGCGATCCCGGGGATCCTGGGCTTTCTGTCCTGGTGCATTCTGGCCTCTTAAGGAGTAGGCTCAATTTGTCGTGTGCGTTTTTTGTACCCAGACTTCTTGCACTCCTGCTTGAAGGGGGGCTTCCTGGGGGAGACAGAGATGTGGAAAGAAAAACATAAGAAATGAACAACATTGTCCCTCCCACAAGGAGCCTACAAGCTAGCTGGTAAGCTGAAGTGAATATATAACAGCATAAATTTACATTTGATTAGAGTGATTACATTTTCCAAACACTTTCAAAAATTTTCTACTGGAAGTAATTTCAAACGTACAGAAAAGTTGCAAGAAGAATAGCAGAGTGAATAATCCATGCATCCTTTACTCCAATTCACTTATTATTAACATGGTATTAATATTTTATCTCTTTTGCTTTTTCACTTGTTATCTATAAAGGAGTGTGAACTGATTTTTTAAAGTATTAAAAAATTTATTACTGTCCTTATTTTGAGGCTCAAAATATCCCAGATTAGGCTGGTGGGAGGTGCTTCTCTGCCTCCTGTGTCCTTCTGGCATGCCCACATCATGTTTGGTTTGGTTTTTTTGGCAATGCCTCTGTGCTTTCTTAGTCTTGTACCTACCTTGCCCCACCCTAGAATTGGCCATTTCTCCAAAGCCTCCTGGTCCTTTTAAGGGCAAATGGTATTAGAGACCAAGATCTGGGTGCCAGATATGCTCATAACTACTGGGGTGTCTTTGTTTCTAGATCTTTTCAACAGACAGAGCTGGGAAATATTTGCATTTACGTACACATACTTACATTTATACTTATACACATCCATCTTTTAGAAATCATGAATTCACACCGATACCTCCGATTCCAGCCCATCCCCAGAGGGTTCTTTGTACTCTTCCTCCCTTCCACATTTCTATATCCCTCCTTCCACAGTGAGAACCCTGGCTCCCAGCAACATTGACACATTTACTCATTGTTAAATCCTGTAATACATCAGAAATAACTTCAGCATTGTTTCATCCATATCCCTGCAAAAAACAAACCTCCTACAGAGAGTTCAGCTTTTGTTTCTAGTCCTTCCCTCACTCCGTCCTGCTCGAGACTGAAAATGTGCAGTCAGAAGTCCATGAGCGACCTGAATTAGTTTTGTCTTTCTCCTTCAGTGTGGTATTCACTGGAAGTACAGTAATTCATTCATGTCATTCACTTCCAGTTTACAGGTATGTTTCCTCCATTCTGTCCTTGTTGATTTAATTTAAAATATTTTAATGTGTAGAATATTAACATGATTCCGTAAGTCAAAACTGTAAACAAAGATATCCTTAGTATTGTCACTCCATCCTTTATCCCCCTATTCCATTGTCCCCATCCTCATTTTCTGCTTTATCGTCAGATACATCCTGCAGTAATATGTGTGTTTTCTTATTTCCTCTTCTTTCATGCATAAAGAATAGCATACTGCTATATGTGCCTTTTTGTCCAAGCACTTGTTATACCTCTCTTTTTTTGCTTGAATGCACCATAAACAAAATTCTGATCTGGAGCAAGTAGGCTTCTATCGCATGTGAGCTGTCAGGGGCCTCAGGTGGGATGTTCTGGAATGGAAGGTTTGTTGTGATGGGCCTGAGTTATTTTCAACTGAGCAGATAGCGGTGTGGGATGGATAGGGCACTGGCTGGCCCATCGAGGTTGCTCTGAGCCCTGGGATCCCATGTGTCCTTTTGTGCTTCCCTCAGTTCTGCTGGGATCATGCAGCTTAGAGCCCATTCAGAGCTGTTCGCAGTTTTTCTCCCTTTGGTATTTGAGAAACTTCCTCCAATTCCCTTTTTTAATGCCCAGATTCAGCAACTGAAAATTATACATTTGAAGTTCACATTTGTATAGAGCTTTGTGATTTTCACAGTATCTTATTGAATGTCTTACTTAAACCCTGTGAAACAGTAGAACAGGTATTATGTCTGTTTTGCACGTGAGGAGACTGAAGCTCAGAAGAGAAAAGTGACAGAGCTGGGACCAGAATCCAGGTCTTCAGACCTAGAGCCCGGTGTGGTCTAGGAGGCAGGGGCACCTGGGTTTTCACAGAGATCCCACCCCCTGCACCTTTTCCTCCAGTCTGTCTCTTAGCCGACAGGAGGAGACTGATGCCTTGTGAATCTGAGTTCTCTCCACGTCAGTAGATGTTACGTGCCTCTAAGTGTTAGGCCATTCAGAACTGTCTAAAGTCACTTCAGAGAGTTTCTATTAACAGCTTTGTTGTATCATAGCAGTTACTATTAATTTATAGATTAGATTGTAATATTTTACATTATATTTGTAGATATTTTATAGAATAGATTGTAATAGTGACTATTATTTTAAATGGGCCGTAAGTCAGGACTTGGCAGTGTTATTCTCACAAATTGTAGTCGCAGTAGGGTTTTACCTACGCGTGCTTTACTGTGTCCCAGGAACCAAGGATGTGCAACAGCGGTACAGCGCATTAGAGAGGGATTTTTTGTATTTCTAAGGTAAAAGAAACTTCATGAAATATAGTAAAGCAAAATCCCATTTTATGAAGCCCTTAAGTTTTGCAGGGTAACTCTTTTACTATCTTTGTGATTTTTTTCAAGAACTCAAATCAACTATGAATCCAGAATAAGAATACCCTGTTTGTGTGTAATCATGTGAATTTAGTACTCCAAGTTCAGAATCAAAACACCTACAAAGATTTGTGCTTGGGTACTTTGGTAGACAATAGACTCGAAGGCCCACATACTTGTTCTTTATAGTGTTTTTAAGAAAACAAATTATATAATGCATTTTCACGTTGACACGTGACACTCCAGGGCCTCCACTTGTTGTTCAGGGGTGTGATTCTGGACTGAGTGTGACTTTTTCAAAGTTCAGATTAATTTGGTGAACCTCCCCAGGACTGAGTTATGCGTGTCCCCTATCTCAGGAAACCTGGGAGGCCTAAAGTCCCAAATCATTCTCAGGATATGGTTTGCATGAGCAGCAAGATGCTGTGTGTGAAGGCCCTTCTTTTTTGAGACTGCAAGGTATTCTCCCCAGGAGGAAAGTTCCCTGGGCTGGGGGTTTAGAAAATGTCTGTGGGTCTTGATCAACTTGGGCTTATCCTGCAAACCCCCTGGAGTCAGCTCCTTTGTGAGCTGGACCTAGGATGCCTCACAGCCTTACCCGCTTCTCTCTTCCCGGAAGATGAAAGTGGGGACAGACCAGCCCTAACAGAGCCAAGGACAGGTTCCAGGGCATCCAAAAAAGTGGGAGATTTAGGAGTAGTGAGTGGTGTCCTTTCTAACCGTGGACAGGGGTGGCACCTTGGTGGGCATTCGAGTTTCTTATCTGAAGTATCAGCGTCTCTGGGTGTTCCAGTATCTGTTCCGCAGTATAATAGCCCAGAGTTGAGGGAGGGGAGGGAAGAGAGAGAAGAGGGGTTGGCTTTATGTAAGCAGGTCATTTCCCCCTTTGTCAGTTGGGTTGGGTTAATGAGGTCCCTGAGAGGGAGATGTGCCGGCTTTGGATTGGAAGGCAGACAGATGTACCCTCTGTCAGAATCCAGGGGTCTGTGTGCAGAGCTGCACTGCCTGTAATCTCATCTGCCTTCTTAGCAGCTTTTTAATCGTACTTACTAAATCCATAACTTGCATAACTTGGCTCCTGTAACAATTCATGGTTGGAAATGCAGATGGTTCCTTGTATATGAAAATTGCATAATCATCCACCTGACTCTCAGACTTCCCTGAGCAAACGTGGGATTCTGTATACATGCATAGAAAAAGGATTGCAGACACGAAAGGTAGAGTGAACAACGAAGAGTTGGGAACTTTTACGTGCCTGCCAAAGCTTTTCCGGGGCAGGTCTTCCCATAAATGGGCAGCAATCGTACTGCCTCTCCACCTACTGCAGGGAAGACTTTTGGGGGAAAGATCATGGCAAGAAGTCAGGCTTAAGACCAACAGTGGTGCCCCACCAGTGTTCCATTTCCTGTGTGGGAAGGGAGAACGGGACTGTGAGGGGGGTCTGCCCTGACCCTGTCCACTGCTCTGGCCAGAACCTGCAGTGCAAGTGGTGGGGATGGGAGCCTGGTGTGGGCACTGGGAAGGAGCCCATAAGGGCTCTTGGTTTGACCAAAGGGGTCACCATGCAATATGGATGCTAAGTTTTGTCTGAAAGTATTGCAGGAGCCCTAAACTGGGTGCTCTCTTTGGCCAAGCTTGGTCCTCCTGGGTCTTTTCTCTTTGCAGTGTAACGCCGGCTGTCTGACGGGGGTGTCTCTGGGGGAGGTGGGACATCTCCAAGTTCAGGTGCTCAGCAGGGCTTGTCAAGAGGCCTGCCATGGCAGCACATGGTGTTTCGGCCTAGGCTCCTTGGGATCGCTGAAATCCTGAGGGAGTTCATTTTCTAAGAGACGGTGCATGTGTGTTGGTGTGGTCTCTGCAACTCTGACACCCACAGTCTTGCTTGGGAGACACTGTGCTATGTCCTGTCCACGTGTGTGGCCCCTATTGCTGTGCTCGTGTGGCTGTACTCAGTGCCGTGTGTCCTGCCACAAGACTGTTGTGCAGCAGGGCAGATGGCTCACGGTGTGGGTCCCTGAGCATGTCCTGACATACGCTTGTTCTCTTGCCTTCCTTAGAGAATTCTCAAAGGAAAGAGAGAAGGCTAAAGCACGGGGAGATTTCCAGAAGCTCCGGGAGAAGCAGCAGCTAGAAGAGGATCTGAAGGGTTACTTGGATTGGATTACCCAAGCGGAAGATATTGACCCCGAGAATGAGGAAGAAGGTGGAGAGGAGAGCAAACGCAATAGTATGTAGCGCTTCCTGCTCTTGACCAGATGGAGCTTGTGTGCAACTCAGCCCTTGCACAGGCATTCCTTGCCTCTGACCCGGCCTCTGAGACCGATGGGCTCCTCCCAGCCGTCTGCTTCCTCCTGCCTGCACATCAGAGAGCACAAGTGCATTTACACCCACTCTGAATTTCTGCCCGAGGTTTGAGTTTTAGATTTTGAGTTGGTCCCGTGGCTCTATGGTTTGGAGGGTCAGCAGACTCACTGATGGCCTCGGGGATTCAGTCATCCCTTCTCTGTGGGCACAGGGCGTGGGAAGACATGCACTCGCCTTGCACCACAGGAGACAAACTCGTGGTCCCTTCATCTCAGAGGGAGCAGTGTTGTTGGATGAGAACTTGAAGAGCAGGGTCCCTCCCCACCCTTCTGCCACCTCAAGTGGCTCCCCCCATGATAGCCATCAGGGGCTGGGAAGGAACCAGGTCACCATTCTGGGTAGTGTTAGGAGGCATGAGTGGCTGCTTTGGAACCCACCCACCTGGTACCCCACACTGTGGCACTAGGCACCCTAGAGCGCTTTCTGCAGCAGGAAGGCCCGATGCTCAGTCAACCTTGGGAATTAATTGCCATTGTCAACCAAGGTGTCACTTTTACTGTGTACTTTCCTGGCAGTTGTGCTCTTACTCTTCCTGGGGCCATCTGTGCTGCCTCAGGTGAAAGTGGGAATTGAAATTCAGCAGCGGATTTGTCTAAGATGTTTGTGATTTGTTTCAAATCTGGAAGAGTTGATAGTAAAGACTGAGAATGTATTTCAAGGGTGCCCGTCCATCAAGAGGCCTGGGAAGCCAAGTTAGCCCTAGCTTGTGGGAGATGGCTGAGCAAGCCGCCCTTGGGCAGAGCATCTAAGGCAGCTCTGTGCAGTCACTCCTTCATTAAGCGAGGCTGGGGGCTGGGTGCTGGGAGGTCTTGAGATGGAGAGGACCTGGTTTGCTCCTTCTGGGGAAGGGCAGGCCTGCACATAAGGAAATGCAGTACAAGGAGACAGAGATGCAGATCGCAGAGGAGGCAGGCTGTGTGGCGGGGGGCTAAGAGGAGGAAGGGCTGGCTGCAGGGCTCTTAAGGAGAGGGCTGTGGGGGCATTGGACCTGGGCCTTGAAGGATGGGTAAATCTGAGATCAGTCATAGCTCAACGTCAGGAGAAACATTCTGAGCCAAGGCAATGGCATGAGGAGGACGCGGAGTTGGGCAGACACAAGGCTCATGGAGGAAGCGGTGGGTTGTTCATTTGGCTGGAGCGCAGAGGGTCTGCAGGTCGGAGAGGCGAAGCAGAGAGGGTGGGTGGGGCCAACTTGTGCTGCTTGTATAGGCGTGGGAGTGTGGAAGCTGAGGCTGGATGTCGGTGGAGGGGATTCTTGGCTGAGATGGCCTTTATGCTTCTAGCTAGGACTCTGAGGGTTTCCTGTTATCGCAGGTGCATACAATCGACTCAGTCCTGTGTGCTAACGTGGGAGCCAGCGGAGTGCAGCCTGTCTCCTCCCCTCCCCTCCCTCCTCCTTCCAAGGCCTACACCCACTGGTGCCTCAAGGAAGAGGCTGGGGTTCACCTGAGGGTCAGGAAACTGCAGGAGGATTTCTGGAGCTGACTGTGTGTTGACTACGAGATCAGAGTTTCTAAGTGGATGGTCTTTTGCACTGCACACTCACTGATGTCCTCTAGTTGACTAGGTGTAAGAAGAGCAACTCAGGTCTGCAGCACAGCCCTCTCGGGGGCGTTCGAGCCGGCCTGAATCCCACGGCCTTCGCAGAGCTTCTGCACCCGCAGCGTGGCCAGCAACGAGCCCTTCGCGTGCGGCTTGGGAGATGCCTACCCTGCTCTTTCCTCTTCATTCCTGAACTGCAGCTTTGATGCTGACCTGTGGAGGTCCACCAGCATCTGCCCACCTCTCCTGAGCGCAGCACGTAGCGTGTTGTGTGTAAACCAGCGAAAGTCTCGTCCCTTCCTCTGAGCAGAGCACCTTTCTTGGCTAGTTCAGATGTGTCCTGTAGGGAGCTGAGTGTGGGCTTCTTGCAGGCCCGTGTCTTTCATCTCTTTCCTGCTTCCTCTAGAAGTAGACAGGGATCTGTGTCAGTGTTGCCAACATCAGTTGTGGTGAAACTCTGTTTATAGCCTGTGATTCGAGGAGTGGGGATTTTTGTTTCCCGTGTCCTGCTGTTGTCTGTAGGAACCTGACCATGTGGTGACAAAACCAGTTCCTCTGCCTTTGGAGACCTTGCTGTGGAGGGAAGACGGAGAAGCAGTGCCTTAGTGAAAGACAGAATGGAGGAGCTGCACCGTAATCCAGGGCCCAGAAGGGTGCAGTGATGCAGGCTCGTGGGAATGCAAGGAAGGCTCCCTGGAAGAGGCAGCACTCCTGCTGAGCTCCAAGGGATGAGCAGGCTTTGGCTGCAGAAGGTGGAATGAGGGGTTCTTTTCAGGCTGAGGAAGTGGCTTGAACCAGGTGCAGAAAGTTACAAATGTTCAAAGCCCTTAAGTGCATTGCTTAGTAATATAATCAAGGAAGGAAAGAAGGCCCCTTTAAAAGTTGTAGGTCCTCAGAATTCACTTTGTAGCTAGGGCTCCAAAACCCATAAAGCAGCATTGTGGTTTCTGCTGCGTGCTGTGAGGTGAGACTCAGTGTGCATAACCGGCTTGCTGTCTGGCATGGAATAGCACGTGCTTCTGTGGTGTACCCATGTTCTTTATCGGACCCAGTTTGCCAGGTGCTGGGGTTTCCTGTGGAGCGAGGCTGATGGTATTAACCAAGTCATCAGATTCACAGAGCCTTGATGATTAGGGTTTGAAATAAAGACATAATTCCGGGCTGTGGGACCATGTTGAGATTTAACTGACTTAAGACAAGAGCTCCATGTCTGCTCCCAGTGAGGAAGTGAGCCTCCCTGAGTACATTCCTCGGGAGCCCAGACAGAGGAGGAGCAGTGCCTCTGGGGATCCCCCTGAGGCCTGCTGTGGCTGCCTACCATCTTCTTGTCACAGCTAGAAACCACAGGGGGAGAGGGTTTCAGAGGGGCCCCCATGGTCCTCCTCACCAACAAACAGTAGTGGATTTACCACCTGCACACGCCAGGTCTGGTCGCTATCATCTGTTAGCAGGCAATGAATTATGGGCGTGGCTGGTGCCAGTGTCCTCCCTGGGTGTGAAAATCCAGAAATCCACACCCCGACACCTTACACTCCCACCCTGCTCCTGCATTATCTCTGGGGAAAGGGATGGGGCAGCACCTAGGGCTCCACACTGCCTTAGGATGCTAATCTACTGTCTGCCCTTTCCAGCTGGGTGCTGGATGGGATTGGGAGAGGTTGCTCCCAGACATTCAGAATTAAGTGAGAAGCAGCCCTTCCTGATGGCTGAGCCTCAGCCTGGACAAGCTAAGGGGAGGATAGGAGGCTGTTAATAGCGGCAGATATCATGAGCCAACGGGAGGTAGGGGCTGGGCTGGAGGGCATTTTGAAGGACCTGAGTGTTAGGCACATTACGCAAAATCTCTGAGCCGTGATTTCTTGGTCTGCAAGAAGGGGATAAAGATATTTGCCCATGGGGGTGTCATGAGGATTAACTGTTCCATAGCTGGTAGAGTCACCGTAGCTGGAGGAGTACTTGCTGCTGCTGTTGTCATCAGACTCCAGTAAAACTTGACCTAAACAGAACAATTTTTGCAGATTCTACTAGACCTCTACCCAACCCCAGGGTGAGGACCCCTTTTAGGACCATGTCCCCATACTCCCCTGTTTATAAGGTTCTCAAATATTGATGGAAAGCAAACTTGTTGACTTGGTCACTTTCCAGATGTGGTAGCACAGCTTTCTGGCTCTTGAAGTCCATTTCTACTTTGTTGTTGCTTGCTGTCAGAGAACAGATGTCAAATTAAGTGCTTGGAGATGTGTTCACATTATCTTTTCTCTCTGATCTATTAAATGTCACTGTGCTACCCTCTCTGGCCGTGCATGACAATCACCTGGGGAGCATGAACGTATCCTGATACCATACGCCAGCCCCACGCTGATTAGCTGGTCTGGGGTGGGACCCAGGAAGTGGCTTTATTTACAGCTCCCTGGAGGTTCCAATGTGAAGCCAGGGTTGGGAACTCCTGGATACTGTCACACTGAACATCACACTATTCCAGGCTTTCACCTGAAAGAAGACAGAAGGAGAGGCAACCGGGTCCCTAACTGGGCTGTCTGGTGGCTGCAGTGACTGGTAGCTCTAGCTTTGTGCATTTATGGACCGAAATGTCAGCTCCGTAATTTTGCTGTTAGAAATCCGGTGTTACGCAATTAATTGAGTGAACAAAATTCCCTTGGAAGTTCCTGAGCATTTGGGAAATTTTCAAGGATAATTTATTTAACTTTTTGCTGAGCTTCAAGTTTCTTAAGAAACTCTGCCAAATCTCAAAGTGATTTTTTTAGATGTATGCAGCTGCTTTTGAGTTAACAATGGAGTTTTTCTAGAGCCATTAGAATCTGGAAGCCTAAAATTCTATTTTAAACTCTTCTCATTGTCAATGAGTACTCTTTAAAAAAAAAATAGCATTCAAAATAATGAAATCGTTTTAAAGGGAGTGCATTCTAAAATTCCAGCCAGAAAAGCAGGGCAGTTTCACTGTGGGAACTATTAATGCTCAGTAATCCTGGTAAGTGGGGATGTTTGATGCCCAGACAAAGGGGGGTGACACTTGAAACTCCAGCTCTGGCCACAAGGAGAGCCTCTCTGTCTCCCCCTCATAGTGGTCCTAGAGGCTGTGAGCACTGCCCCTCGCCGCCCCCCACTAGGACTGCCCCCCAGGTCTAGGCGTACAAAGTCACCATAGCCACGGCCTCCCTTCCTTGCGTGCCACCGCAGATGCCTGCTACTGTGAGGTTTGATTTAGGGTGGGCGGAAAACCAGGGATGGCATAGCTGTTTGCAAGCACGTGCCATTTTGCTGGGCCTATTTAAAAAGACTGTGTCTTTAAAATTTGATTTA